AAGTGTAGGCGTGGGAAGAAACACGACGTGCCAGACCAAAACATTTCGAAGACGTCGCTGTTGCGACCGCTCATCGAATGTTGTCGTGTTCACTTGCATCGCACTTGTGCACTCTGCACGGCCACGCACGCGACCGCTCCTGGAACTTTGTTGTGTTGACTTGCACTGCGATGCCTTTGCCCTCCCGCTGTTCCTCAAATTCTTAGTTCTGTTACGAATACTGCTCCGAGATGGGCGCCGCGTACATGGCCACCCAGTACGCCTTCGAGTGCTTTTGCTCGGCCGACGAGGACTTGGACTACGAACGCCACGGAACGGCGATGTGCAACATGGGCTGCTTGGGAGACGAGGTGACAAACAACATGAGTGGAGAAAATTGTTCCCATGTGGAAAAAAATACTTAGAAAAGCCTTGTTGCTCGACGACGTTCCTAACACCCCCCAACCACACACTCACGTGTTTCGCGACTGAAGGACCGATTGATAAATCCCAAATCACATGAGAAAAACTGTTGGCTCTCACTTGTCGTTCCATTGTTGCGCGCATGCATACACCGACCGGTCTTTCTGTGAACTCTCCCTCTCACACCCGCCGCTGCCCTCGTCCCCCGTGTACCTCCACCATAACAGGGGGAGACCTGTGGCGGTGAAAACGCGTTCGACCTCTACAAGATCATGCCTTCGATGAACTCGCCCACGCCGGCAACGCCTTTTTCCGAGCCCGAGCCCGAGCCGACCACGCCCTTGTCCGACGGGTGCGCGGAAGCATGGGGGCAATGCGACGGTGGCAACTGGGAGGGTTCGACCTGCTGCGTGGAGGGCTACAAGTGCGTCCCCGACAATGACTGGTACTCACAGGTACGCGGCGGCGCTGAGCGGACCGGACCCTAGTCATCCATCAATTCAGAAATGCCTGGATGTGGCTTTTTTGAAAAAGGGTAAGGGTGTCAATCGAAGAGGCTGCATTGGACGGGCTCTCTGGTCATGAGTCAGAAATTCTGTGTGCGCGCCGTTTTTTTCCTTGATGAAAGCTTCGTGGTTGCTGATGTACAGTAGGGTGTCGTGCCATTCGAAGCGGCTACTGCTGTGGCGTCGTGTTGTTGTTTGAGGTGTGCGTTCACGTTATTGGCGAACGTGCGCAGGAAGATGATGTTGTCTACTTGCTCGCTCTTGCGGGTCCTTGGCCAAGCGGTTGGGTCTTGCCTGGGATCGCCTGCCAAGCGTATTCCTCCTCCCACAACGCCTCACTGGCAGCAGTCACCCTCTTATCCTCCCGCATGCCTTCATTTTTGGCCTCCCGACCGTACCACCGCTTCGCAGTGCCGCCCTACGGCCTAAATCGTCGTCCGCCCTGGGTGATCCGGGGG